GGCGGTGGGGCGGAAACTTACGTCCGCCGCGTGGGTGGCTTCTACCCCGAGGAGATCGATGACTCCTGGAGGAGGGACGGGGAGGTCTGGCTGCAGGACTCCTTCCGTGGGTCTGTGGCCCCCAATGCAGATGGGACCTACCACTACTGGCTCAGCATCCGGATCAATGCCCAGGAGAGGGACTACTATCGGTGCCACGTGGAGCACGACAGCCTGCGGGAGGCTGTGGATGTGGCCTTGAAGGGTGAGAGGCTGCAGAGAGGGAGAGGCTGGGCTCTTTTTCAGGGTGGAGGATTGTGGGAGAGAAATTTCACCCCAGCTGTGTCCAGATGTGAGCACCCTTGAGCTTTAATCCAGTGGTTTTTCCCATGTTTGAAGTTTGTGGACCTGCAGGGAACAGTCCGTAGAATCGGCTTCCGGTTCTTGAAAGGAAGCAGCGGAGTCCCACCCCAATGCTTGTCCCATCCTGAGGAAATGCTCCCAGATCCTCCCTTAGCCTCTGACCCGCCCGTTTGCTGCCTCCAGCAGAGCAGGAGGAGTTATGCTGAGCCCCAAAACAGGTTTCCTTTTATTTAGAATTCCTCAAGTAAAAAAGTCAGGAGGAGTTGGGTAGCCCCTTTTCTGAGTACCAAATTGTATTAAAATTTATGAACAGCAAATTTTCCTTCAGGAAATGCATAGAGTGGCTGGACCAGTGCATCAGTCCTCAGAAAAGGGGCTGTCAGTCTGATTTTTTGCCATCGTAGATGAACACGGCTTTCCTCCTGTAAAGAACAAAACAGAGGTGTATTGCTACTCTACGAAAGAAGTGCAGATGTTATTTTATGATCAGTGATCGATTGGGATTCCTGAGGCTCAGCCTAAAACCAAAGGAAAAAGCCTTGTGTCAAACAACTCTGTGTATTCTCATAACTTCCACTGACTTTTTTTACCCTGGACTTCCAAAACTACAGAATACCAGTCTTTTATTGATGATAGCATCACAATTATACAAAAAATGGTCAAATTTTATTTTTATGCTGATATTCCAGGTACAATAAAATACTCCTTTGGTTTCTTTACCAAGCATCAAATCACAAGCCCCATGGCTGCTATTCAGTGAGGGTTGCGAGTTTTGTGCAAGAGGAATTTAAAGTTTTTATTCTTTTATTTGTTGATAAGAATGAAATAGAAAACAGATTAAGTGATCTCTAAAGGATGACAAGATCATCTGGATGTTACATGAAATTAATTTTTAATGGTAAATCAGGCATTTTGTCTGGTAAAAGCTCCATCTGGACACAGTCAGGGGCCTCTTCCATGAATTAAAGGAGGTTGGATGGTCTCACAGTGAAGGGGATCCACAGCTGGCTGGAACATCTTCCTCAAGGAGTGTCCATTGATGGTTCCTCATCAGGTTGAAGATGTCAGATGGGGTGCCAGAAGAATCAGCCCTGTGTCCTCTATTCAATATTCTCTTTAATGACTTGGAAGAATAGGTAGAACAAGGAGTTATCAGATTGGCAGAGCATCTGAAACTGGCTGAGTGAGGAGATATCGTCAAAGAAAGAAGTAAAATTCAGAATGGGCTGAGAGTCACAGAATGAAATGGAAAAGAGACTTGAAACGAAACAGTGTCCACGAAGGATGGGAAATCTCAAATGAGATAGTAAAGATCCTGCACTAAGCAGGCGGTTAGACTAGTTGACCTCTTAGGTTCCTTCCAGTGTATGATTCTAAGTACAATGTTCCTCGCTTAGGAAACAAAAATCAAAGGTCCGGGTATTAGGTGGGGAATCCTTGGCTTGCTAAAAAGATTTTGTAATAGGGATTGATTGGAGACTGAATATGAGCCAGAAGCACGAAGTACCTTGAAAGAAGCCATGTGCAAGTTCAGGCTACATCAAATCAAATATAACTTCCAAATTCTTGTTGGATAATGAGATTAAGAGGAGACAAGGTATATAATATCAACCTTTATATCTACTTAAAATATACAAAAGGTAAACTTAAATAAAATACATCCTCAACAATATATAAGTAACAACAAAGAATATAAATAATACAATACAAAATATATACCAGACAGCAGGTAAAAGCAGTGAGCATAAAAAGGTAAAATCAGGAAAGCAGCAGCAGGTAAAAGCAGTGAGCATAAAAAGGTAAAATCAGGAAAGCAGCAGCAGGTAAAAGCAGTGAGCATAAAAAGGTAAAATCAGGAAAGCAGCAGAACAAGTAAGAGGAAGGATACTTCTCTTATACAGAGTTTGCCAGCTGATTCTAATAGTTCACAGCCAAAAACAATCACTATGGTTAATACTGTTAAAGGTGTAGATCTCGCAAATGTCCAACACCCCTTTCTCAAGATCTTATCACCATAATCATTATTAACCAGGATTAAACATGTTCAACATTTCACAAAAATGTACAAATCTTTCTCTTGTTAATGGCTTAGTTAAAATGTCAGCGACCATTTCATCTGTAGGACAATATATAATATCTATTAGTCCTTTCTGATATAAATCCTTTACAG